CATGTGATGACTTCATTAGACATAACAAAAACCCATTTCATCAGGGCACCCTTCACCTCTGCCTGTCAGTGCACCTGCTCTTAATTTTACCGCTTACGATTCAGTGGTGAGATGGATTTGAAGCTTTGGCCTCTGCTTTGGTTTATTCCACGCCTGTGCTGCTCCATATTGATTTTTGTTAAATGAGGCCTTTAGCGGTTAGCTGTAGAAGCAATTACTTAACACTTTCAAAAATAGTATGGGAGTGGAAAATAAAAACTGAAAGTTCAGTTGAGGTCCAGCCAGTGATTTGGAGGCATGTCGGTTTCCCATAACCCGCATGAGAAACAGATATGCAGCCAGCCTACAGCTCACACCTGGGCAAACCTGCCCACCCTTTCAGGTACGTTCACAGGCTCGTGGTGGAATTGTTTGTTTCTTGATTAGCTTTACAGACCCATCTTGATCCCACGGTGCACATATGCCATTTCCTCATTACCCGTTCCATGCCCAGCAAGTTTCTGATGTGTTTCAAATTTGAAGTGGCTTGATGGATGTATCTGGGTATTGGAAGGAGTGAGTGCGTTGCCATCTGGCAAAGAGGAGACAGCGGCAAAGTCTCCTGAAGCAGAAAGTTTGGAGGATAAGCGAGGGTGTCATGATGGGGGATGAGAAAACAAATAAAAACACAAATGGAATTGACTATTGACCCTTCCAATTCGGTTTCACTTCCCCCAAGGAGATCCTGCTAGGTGCGTGATTCAGCCTGGAAAACTCCACCCATAGGCCACCCTGCGCAGAGTACTTCCTGCGTGTCAGGCATCTGTGCTGGGCGTGATGGTGTGAAGTGATGAATGAGGTTTGGCCCTGTCCTTTGGGAACTGACAGTCCAATGAAAAGCAACCAGTATGTTGACCTTTTACCACGAGACACTTGAGTAAAAATGGAGCCTCTAGGATCCCCAGTGTTAGAAAAACTGACCCAGTGGTCATGAAAATCTTCATAAAGGAACTAGCAAATAATCTTGGTCTTGCAAAGAAAGAAGTTTGCAGGTCCAGAAGGGAAGGTGAAAACGGGGAATAGAATAGACAAACAGGAAATGATCAAACGACCGAGAATATCCAGGGTACGATGAGAAGTGCCGTGTGTCTAGACTAGAACAGAGTTGAGTGATGGTGGGAAAAGATCTGGGAGCCTGGGCCGGGCACGGTGGCTCACGCCTGTAATCCCAGCACTTTGGGAGGCCGAGGCGGGTGGATCACGAGCTCAAGAGATCGAGATTATCCTGGTCAACATGGTGAAACCCCGTCTCTACTAAACATACAAAAAAATAGCTGGGCACGGTGACGCCTGCCTGTAATCCCAGCTCCTCGGGAGGCTGAGGCAGGAGAATTGCCTGAACCCAGGAGGCGGAGGTTGCGGTGAGCCAAGATCGCACCATTGCACTCCAGCCTGGGTAACAAGAGCGAACCTCGGTCTCAAAAAAAAAAAAAAAAAAAAAAGATCTGGGGACTTTCTTGCATTTCCAGTTGGAGAGGAGAACGCTTCAAAGCTGATAGCTCTAGTTCCAACACCCAACTCCTCTGGCATCAGCTGTGTGAAATATGGCAAGGTACTTAAAAACAGAAAGCCTTGATTTTCCCGTGTAAAGTGGTTATTGTAATCCAAGATTTGCAGATGTGTTGGAAAGATCAAATGAGATGGCATGTCTGGAGAACCTGCTGGCGTCCCCCAAATATTCCAGTTAGTATTATCTGCCTTTGTGTGTGTCTTTACCATGGACCACAGACTCAAAAGGCCAACGTCCCAGCAGGTTACATCAAGATATGAAGAAAGCCAAGGCTAGGGTGCCTAATGGTATGTGTCCCACCAACTCGGTTTAGAAAAAAATACAAATCCCAACTAAAATGGGACCCATGCAGGCAGAAAGCCCTGTATAATCACACCTTCCAATTTTCCAAGAGGAGCTTGATGCACCGCAGATTTCTAAGTGAAATTTCCCATCCTTTCTGTGTTCGTTACTAATCTGAATTTAAAACACAGTGTAGGCAAAACAGTGCATGTCTATGGGCCATACACAACCTGTGGGCTGCCGGTTGACAGCCTTTGATCTGTCTTCTCTCCCACCACATTACAGGCTCTTCCAAGGCTAGTGCTGTGGTTGTTAATGATTCATATCAGGGCTGGCTCATGGCAGATGCTTCGTGGTTGGAGGGCACTGACTTCAGCCACATAGAGACATCGACACTAGGGGCGAGGAAAAGCAAGCCAACAAGTGAGGTGTTCAAAAGTGCAGAATTCAAAGAGTGACCCAGTGCCATAGCACAAACCCAGGAATGAAAACTTTTAAAACTCGGCCCCAGCAAGAAGCTCCTGGGAGAGGAGCAGATCCTTGGGAAAAAAAAAATGTGCAGTCTGTGAAGGGCAAAGTTTGGCAATCTATTAAACAGCAAGTTACAATAGGCGAGTGCAGAGATCACAGAGGCTGGGATTAATGTACACACATCTATACAGGGAACTTTGATGCTTTCAAATGCCTCCTCGCCATCTGAAAATCAGGCAGCAGGCATCGCCTACATATTTCCCAGCAGTCTACCTGTCTGGGTGTTTGGGCTTGACAGCAGGAAGCTCTTTGAAATGAGGCTAAGGCATTTCAGAAACTTCTGCTTGAATATCCAGTTTGTATATTCTGTCGATGCCTTTTAAAATTGGCTTTATTTTACTTTATTATTTTATTATACTAATTTTGGAATCTCTTATTAAGTCGAAACTGCAAGGGAGCAAATTACAAAGCCACGATGCCTTTTGGCGATCTCAAGTGAATGATACGGACTCAGGCTCCCAGGCTCACACACAACCCCATGTAACAAGGAAGGAGAGAAGTTACGTTCACAGAGCACAACTGTTTTCAACAGCAGTCCAGTGAAAAGTGCCAAATGTTTGAACCTTTTGACTTCTGCCCAGATAATATCATAATGGGTTAGGGAGGGATGTTTACAGCTTTCTATGAGTAATAAATAATTTAGAAGCCATTCATTAAAACCTTCTAAATTATAGACACTGCAGGCAAATTCCTTCTTTCAAGAAGGAAAGGATGACCTGAAAATTGGTCCCTAGTTTCTTGCCTTCTTTTTGATTCTTTTTGTTTATTCTTCTTACTAGAAGCTAAGTGAGTAAAGTACCAGCACTGGGGGGTCTGGGCGGGCATGCGGGTTACAGCACTGCAAATACTTAGAGCTACGGTGCATGTGAAAATGAAGCTGGGCTACCTGGGCCTGGTGAAATCATGCAATAGAAATCTGAAGATCTTGCATTTTATCCTGAGGTCCATAGAGGTCTTATTCATGCTTCTCTGCTCATTTTAACAAGAAGGTGCCAATCTACCGGCAGTGAGGAGGAGAGTGGAAGGATTTGCATGAGGCAGGTTCTGTGACTCAGGTTTTCAAAGCTGTTTCATGGAAGGCAAAAAAAAATACTATCCTCATCCGAACCATGATATAGGTGTGGTAGCTTGGCTGTCTCTTCTCACACCACATTGCAAGGCCTTGATTGTGGGGTGTGGGAATCTTACACAAGACCTAACCAAGCCAGAGAGGATTAGCTTTAATATCACTCAAAATCTGTCAGTAGGAGAAAAGACTGTCAGTATCCTAAGGCAATACTTAGGAACAGGTAGAAGTAGGTAGGAGTGTTTGGGGAGTGACAGAAACACCAAGATTCTGAGTTGATCTCCAGAACTCCCAGACCCGGCTCAGTGGGCATACGTTGAATTTATTTTCATTTGGTTTGGTCGGGGATCTTGGGAGCAAGCTACTTTGACTCATAGATGTAAACAGTAAGAAACCAAACTGTTGACTTGGGCCAGAGTCCTTCTCTTTCTTTTTTTTTTTTTTTTTTTTTGTGACGGAGTTTCGCTCTTGTTACCCAGGCTGGAGTGCAATGGCGCAATCTCGGCTCACTGCAACCTCCGCCTCCTGGGTTCAGGCAATTCTCCTGCCTCAGCCTCCTGAGGAGCTGGGATTACAGGCACGCGCCACCATGCCCAGCTAATTTTTTGTATTTTTAGTAGAGACGGGGTTTCACCATGTTGGCCAGGATGGTCTCGATCTCTTGAGCTCGTGATCCACCCGCCTCGGCCTCCCAAAGTGCTGGGATTACAGGCTTGAGCCACCGTACCTGGCCGAGTCCTTCTCTTTCCAAAATAGCCTGTGTCAGGGAAAGCGAGAAGAGGGAATTAGAAATGGGCCCTGGGTTCGAGGATATTCCCAATATAAAGCCATCCTGACTTCTAATGTAGACGTTTCAGATTCCCATGGCTTTGTTATCCATATTGAACCTGGGTACCAACTTCCCAGTTGAACAGAAATCAAGGCAGCACATGATGCTGTCTTTTGTGGTGGCAGTCTCCAGTCTGGCTTCCTTTCATGCAGACATACCACCGAGAGGACAGGCTTCCGGTTCCAGGCACAGAAGCCATCTCCAGCTAAATGATGATCCCGTGTTAAAAGATACCCTTTTTATGGTTTCTTAAACGATGAGGCATTTCAAGTATAACATGGTAAAGGGGCACGATCATAAGGTAATGTGGATAGAAAGAAGGTGTTTCAGTGTGAGCAGGGGTGTTGAAGCAGAGCTTTATCAATAAGTGGAATTTCCTGTAAGTAGAAAGATAAATGAATTAGTAACTCAGAGTAATTTTTTAAAAATACATATCCAGATGAAAGCTCGGATAAGTTTGATCCCTTTTAGCCAATGAAGTATGATCTCTAATTAGGTTTCCATGCAGACAGTGCAGCCTTGGAGTACATTTCCGAATCTAGTTGACCTTTTCAGCTGGAGAAGCCAAATGATTTCCATTCCATGCTCTTTAATTCTAGAGGAATTTCTAATTTGTTGCCAGAGATAAAAAAAAAAAAAAAAAAAAACTCACTCCAAACATGAAAAAAGTTTTAAATAGTCCAGAGTCTCATTTATAGAATATTAACATTTTAGAGCTGAGAGAACCCTAAGAGACCATTTTATTCCATCCCTTTATCTCACTGATAATAACATTGAGGACCAGAGAAAACTCAAAGACTTGCCCAAGGTCACTCAGGGACTGAGGACCTAGGATTAGAACCCGCGCCTCCTGCTTCCCACCCCAGCTTCTCTGCTTGACGGGCCTCTTATTTGCCTGCCAGGCTTTTTTTTATGTGGTCCAGATGTTGCCCATCGCTCGACTCCACCATCAGACCTGCTTCAGGGAAACTTCCGCGGGCCAACACCTACCCTCTTGCCTCTCTTAATTTCTTTTGGAAATTCTCTATTCTCTCACCTTATTACTGTTAAAACAAAACGGGTTCTTTTATTGCCACAGGCAGCAGGAAAGTGAAGTTCTTGATGGAGGCAAGTGTCTTCCCTAGTGAGAGCAAGTAAATTAGTTCTGAGGTCCTCTCACTCACTGTAACTGTAATGAGAGACACCAGCCCCTCTTCATTAATGAGATGCCAATCACAAAGGGAGCAGCCTCAGAGAGCCTTTGGGGAAGGGGGCGGCGGGAGAGAGCGGTGATTGGCACCTTACTAAGAAGGGAGGAAGCAGAAAATAGCCTCCAGAGGTGGGAAAACACACGTGGGTGATCTCAAATCTGAAGGGTAGGTCCAGCGGGAACGTGAGGGGTGCCTGAATGGGCGAGTCAGCCTAGTCTATGGCAAATATCTTTGAGCAGCAGAATTGGGGAGCTGTCCTCCCCGCCGGCATATTTTCCTATATATGCTTTCCAAGGCAAGGTTGTATTCATGCTAAAGTGTGTCCCACGTGGGGGTCTGTATGATTGGTGACCATTGGGGCTCATTAATGACTGGGTTCTCTTGGAAGGTTGTTAGTAGCGAACCTCCTCGCTCCTCTGCCTTAGATTTCATCAAGAGTTTAACATGCCATGTAACCTCCTAAACTTTTGAAAAGGAAACTTTTTTTATTTTCTTTGAGACGGAGTCTCGCTCTGTCGCCCAGACTGGAGTGCAGTGGTGCGATCTCGGCTCACTGCCACCTCTGCCTCCTGGGTTCAGGTGACTCCCCTGGCTCGACCTCCCGAGTAGCTGGGACTACAGGTGAGTGCCACCACGCCCAGCTGATTTTTGTGTTTTCAGTGGAGACAGAGTTTCACCATGTTGGCCAGGATGGTCTCAGTCTCTTGACCTCATGATCTGCCCGCTTCAGCCTCCCGAAGTGCTGGGATCACAGGCGTGAGCCACCGCTCTGGCTGAAAAGGTAACTTTCTAAAAGAAAGTTATGAAACAACAATTTGGTGCTTAAGGGAACATTTTTTCTTGCATGAGATAATCTCCTTGGTAGGAGACACTGTTCCTCAATTTGTCCAAAGACCAAGGTAACCCAAAGACGATGTTTCTAGGGCAGGAGAAACATCTAACTCATATTTGCTCAGCTCTTTCTCTCAAAAGCGGCTTGAGAGTAGGCTCTGCCCCTGGCAAGATGATGCATGCTGTCTTTCCCTCCCAGCTACCCAGAATGGCATTTGCAGCATCGTTGAGAACATTTTGGGAAAATATCTGTGCAGTTTTCCCAATTCCGTTTTTACCCTCTGCAGCCTGCCTTTGCTTTGCTAGGCTGGCAGAAAATCTGTGCATATTGGAAAGAGTACTTTTATTTGTAATTAAATGACTTTTTCCCTGTTATTTTTTCCCTGAAAACATTTTTTTTAATGAATATGGGTCTATATGAAGGTTAAAAGACTTTCAGCACTCAAAACAACTTAATAAAATGTCTGAGCACACAATTAGGCATACTTATGTCCTTCAAGAATCAGGTAGTGGAAGTTCTAATTGGCAAAGCAGCATCTTGAATGTCATTTTCTAAACCCATTAGACCATGTCTAACAGAGAAAGAGGAGAAGCAGCAGCAGTTTACAAAATACCAGCAGTGTCCCCGCTTGGAGACATACTTTTAGGGGTAGCAGGTAGATGATATTGAACTTGTAACAAAATGTACCTACAAAGCCAGAGTCGCTTCAAGTAAAATGACGTTTCTTGAGATTGTGTGTAGGCTTACCTTAATAATAGTGGGAGTAAATATGTGTATAAGCAACCTAGAGATGCTCCTTTATTCTCTCTGTATGTGTAGTGTGTGTATTGTGTGTGTGTGTGTGTGTGTGTGTGCGCGTGTGTTTCATGCAATTCTTTAAAGGCACGCAGTCAGCTGTAATGTATCCTCCTTTCTCTGAATTCTGGTGACCTTTCACTATATATTGGGCAAGGCCCAGGCCTGTGGTTTTGGTTTGATAGAAATACAGCACATCTGTCTTCAGTTATTCACGTAAAATGCTTTAACCTTTGTGTCTGGCTGCTTCGGGTCTGTCACCATTAAAATTTGCATTAATAACTGGAAGTTTTTAATACATTCAAGCCAAAGTTGAGCCTCCCAGAGGTGTTGTCTGGCCTGGAATCCCCTCGTTTAGTCCAGCAGTACTTCTGGAAAGTCCGACGAGACTAACCTAGAAGTTCCATTCTGTGTTGAAGACCAAAAAGGAAGAATCACATGGAAAATAAAGAGTCATAAAGCCGACTGCATTTTATTCTAGACACTATGTTTCTGCTGGAAACCTGCTTTTCAAAAACTTGGTGGACAAAATCTCATTTGTTTATTTTTCCCCTCATGTTTTAGACACCTGGGTTTTTAAGGATAACATTCTTACAGATGTTTTGGATAGATTTGTTTTCAAAAGTGCTCAAAGACTTGATTTCCAAGGACCAGACTTTCTTCTTGTCATTACCAACCATGGTACTTTTTGAAGAGGGGGAAACTTAGCTTGCGATGGGCCTGACTGCAATAGAATCACACACCCTCCTGGTTTTCAGGAACATTTGAAACCAAACCATGCCTAAGTGTGCCACCCGACCGACCGACCTTTCTAAAAAATACTATCGTCTTTGTCAGACCAAACTTCTCATATAGTGTTTTGAATTTCATTAGAGCCATACTTAAAAGGTTAGGAAGGACAGAAGTCTACCCTGGAAATGGCTCATAGGAAAATGAGAGAATTCCAGTTTTACTTCCAGGCACACCATAGAGGAGGTACTTCTCCAAGCTGGTAAGTGAGCCATTTTTGCAAAAATAGAAGCAACGTTCTGGGCAAGGGCTTGAAAGTAGAAAAGCCTGGGATAGAACATTATTTTTTAAAAAAACATATTATAAAACAGAGTTGCCCAGCTCTCCTTAACTAGTGAACTAGCTCTTCTACACATTTACCAAAAGATAATTGATGTTTGTAATGCTGCCCCTAAGGCACTGCAGGATCCTAAAATGCTTTCTGAATCATCAAAGAATGATTCATTGCGTTCTGGGTGGTTTTCTTGTTGAGTGTATTTCATTGTATACTAATCCCTTTGAAAATTGGTAATATATTTGTGATGGGTACCAGAGGTTTGCAATCCAGAGCACACAGCCACAACGGGTAAGTGGGAAGTGTCTTTGGTGTACAAGCTGGGTGCCACCCCCACATCCTCGATCCTGCTGCTTCGAAGAGGCAGTGCTGCCCATGGAATCTGCAGGAGTTGGTCTCCGTGGAGGTTTCATTCAACTCCTCCCTCTCCTCCCTTTCCTGCTCAGCTTGCTAGAAGGAGTCCACATGTAAACAGCGATTCCATATCCCCACCCCTCCCTGTACCCAAAAGAAGAAAGGCGAGAAACTTAGGGCGGCACGAATTAGGCGAAGTCATACAAAAATTCTGACCTCTTTTTATCTACAAAAGCCACGTTTTCGTATGACCAGTTGCAGCGGTTACAAATATGAGGCACCTGTGTGAGTCTGTGTGTGCAGACATGCGGCGAGCATTCGGTTACCCAGAAGACCTGATTAACAGGAACACCAAAGCAGATCACACGATTTGCTGCCCCCTCATTTGTTAAACAAATAACTGTTTCCTTCTTTGCTGCTCCTCAGCTGATAGCCAGGAGTGGAACCCCAGCATGTTCACAGCACTGCTACATATTCGGTGAAAATGGCCTTCCTACTTCTTGGTATGCTCTGTTTAGATTTTAATGCTATTTACAGATGAAATATTCCATAAATATTCATACAGCGCCTGTACAAAGGAAAGGATCCGACGAGCTCCTTATTAACAAGCTCCCTTATGTCAGGGTAACGATGGGAGAAAGGGCTTTAATCCATCCTCCCGAAGTTCCCACACAAAAACTGAACTATCCTCTTTACACATAATATTGGGGTGACCTGGGATTTACCAGCTAAATTCACAGCTAAAAGTGTCAGCTAATGAATTATTCCAAGTAAATTAACAGACCAAGGGAATCCTGTTTTTCAGTCCCATACCAATGCTCTCTTCATTAGCAAGTACGCTGAATGTGGGAGAGAGCAACTAGGTGCCAGAGTGTGGAGCCCACATTCACCCTCTGCACGGTTCCTCGACACCGGTGATCAATTGACATTTGTTAGAAGAGCATTTTATTCTTCCAAAGGAAGGCTCAGAAACTTTAGAAAAAAAAATGTTTTAAGCTCAGAGAGCTTGTAATGAAGCAAATTAAAACCTTTTTTAAAAACACACACACAAATTGAAGTTTTTATAAAATATTCAGGACCTTCAAATTCAAAACTCTAAAAAACCCCACATACACTTCAAGGTCATGCTTTTAAAAAATTTAAAATACTGAGTTGAGTGACTGACATGTCCAAAATTCTGTCTACAAATTTCTTTGTAGCAAAGAAATTAAATCTAACAAATTATTTTTTGTCTCATCAATGGGGGAAAAGGGGATAGCAAGTCGTATTTCCCCCTCCCATCTTTGTATCAAAGATGGTTAAATGCGTCTTTCCGTTCCATCAGATTGTCTCCACTGGCAAGATACTACTTGGGAAAAGAGTAGGTAGAAGTGAAAATGAAACTGGCAGCCCCTGAGATCCACAGGGCATCATTTGGCAGGCACTTCTCTGAGGCCTACCCAAAAGTGGTTAATCAGAGAGTAGGGACGATGTCAGATTACATTAGAGGCAGATTTCTCTGTGTTTATGGGCAAATCTGAGACGGCCAGTCTTTCAGGTCTGCAGCTGTGGTTGCACGCAAAATACGATCCTAAAATGAAATGCCAGTGTTTAATCCTTCCAACTTCTCAGCTTCCTCATTATTCTCTTGTGGGCGTTGTGGTTGCTACTGACTCAAAGCTGCCCCCCGTTCGATGATGTCTTCATTCCTAGAGGTGGCCCCCATGTCCCCTTCAACCTGGATTCCTGTTGAGGATCCTATAGTGAGAATTCAGTTTATCTCAAGACAAAATCCAGCAAGGAGAACTTTTAAGCCTTGAAATGCACAAAGCTGTGTGTGTATTTACGTGTAGCGTGTTGTCCACCTTCAAACATAGTCCGGGCCGTACTCCGTGGGGCAGGACTCTCAGTATGTTCTCTCAGGCTCTCCTTGGAGAATATTTCTTAGCAGAGTGCATTTTTGTTACATGAGGCCAGAGCTGCATGTGGCTACTGAATCAACCATTTTGACGTCAGTTAGTTCTTTTTTTTTTTTTTTTTTTTTTTTATGAGACGGAGTTTTGCTCTTGTTACCCAGGCTGGAGTGCAATGGCATGATCTCGGCTCACCGCAACCTCCGCCTCCTGGGTTCAGGCAATTCTCCTGCCTCAGCCTCCCGAGTAGCTGGGATTACAGGCACACGCCACCATGCCCAGCTAATTTTTTGTATTTTTGGTAGAGACGGGGTTTCACCATGTTGATCAGGATGGTCTCAATCTCTTGACCTCGTGATCCACCCGCCTCAGCCTCCCAAAGTGCTGGGATTACAGGCTTGAGCCACCGCGCCCGGCCCAGTTAGTTCTTTCCAGTTGTCCTAATGACTATTCCTCAAGCATTTGATTGGATTAGGATAGGTCCATGCAGTTCAGCTGCGTCAAGGTGTAGCCAGGAGGAGACCCACTGGAGTGGAAATCTGCAGGATGGTTTGAGCCTCAGCTCAGCTGCTAACTTGCTATGTGACGTTCAGATCTCTTGACCACTCTGAACCTCAGTTTCTTTGCCTGTAAAGTGGTAACTGTCTAGCCTCTCTTATCAATCTTTCAGAATTGTTAATCAGATTCAATGATCTGGGACGTGTGAAAGCTTTTGAACCCATCCGAGTTATCAGCTGGAACTTCATAGAGTTAGTTGGCGCGGTGCTTCAGGAGATAATTTGAGGATGACTTCGCAGGGAATTCCTATGCCGGTCAGAAAGCATTCCTTTATTACGCACCAATGGCAGTAAAAAAAAGAGAAAGACCGTTCTAATGGTTGGAGTCACTTGATCATCACCACTTTAAAGATGAGCAAAAAATAGTTGAGAGAGTCATGGCTAATCCTTGCTATTTGCTGTTACCATGGTGGTGAAGAGGAAAATCCCCACTCTCCAACTGTGTCTGGAAACAGAGAGGTCTAAAGCCTTGGAACCAGTTGTGGCAAATGGACAGGATGTCCTAGAATGACACCCTCGGTGTAAATAAATCACCGGAACTGATGGCAGCCACCCAAGAGTTTTGAAGGAACTCAAGGGTGAAATGGTGGAACTATTGGCCAAAACGTGTAACTTGTTACAGATGGGTATTGTGCTCAAGACCTGGCAAATCGCCACCATGACTCTGAAAGGAGAGAAGCACAGGTAGGCGAGCCTCCCTTTTAGACCTAGCAAGCTGGTAGAGACTATCTGAGTGGGTGGTGTCACTGAATACATGCTTATCGTAGCATGGAGATTTAGGGAGCATTCACCGTGTGCCAAGCATTGTGCTGGGTGCTAGAGGTGAACAATGGAAGTGTCTAGCAGGCTGTTTGAAAGGGGTCTGAAAACTCCAGTGCTGCACACATAGATTTGGGAAGTCATTGACATATAGGTCAAACAAAGCAAATAACCGCCACCTAGAGATGCTGTTCCTATCGATGAGAAGATCCTGTCGGGAACAGCGTGCACACACTGGGAGGAGACTATCTTGAAAAGAGAGCGAGTGGAGAACCACCAGCATCGTCTGCATTGCTGGGCTGTACCACGCTGTGTTTGCCATCTCCATGCGGGTGAATGTTGGAATTCTGAGGGTGACAAGTGGCTGTGATAACCCAGCAAGAGTGTGAAAAGGAAGAACAGAAGAGGTTGAAAGGCGGACTCCTGCGCAAAGCAAGCATGTGGGGGTCAGGACAGAGGGAAGAAACCAGCAAGGGAGGCTGAAAGGTTTCATCATGTATTCGTCTATTCCTTTAGGTGACAAGGAAGCCTGGCCACTTTCTATGTGGCCGGGGATGTTCTCTGTTTTTGGAACAATCTAAGAGAAACTCAGATAGTGGTAAACACTCCGAATCAGAAGAGTGATTGGTTGGGCACTGAGCAGGGTTGGTCAGCTCTTACCAGAGCTAAAACCTGAATGGCAGGACCCAGCCACTGATGCAAAGAACTGTGAGAAGAACATGCTAGGCAGAAGAAACAGCTAGTACAAAGGCCCTGAGACAGAGAAAATGGCAGAAAAATACTCTTTCCAGAAGTTTGGCTGTGTAAGGTAGCAGCTTGAGGGGAAGACAGGACTGGGAAGGAGGTTTCCTGATGCTGTGTATAGTTGGTTGGCTGGCTGTGTAGAACAGAGAGACCTGATAATGTTTGTGGATTTTAGGAAAAAAAGAAGTGGAAAAGGAAAGATTGTTAATGCGGGAGAGAGAAAGGATGATCAATGGTGTCTTAGAGAAGGTGCAAGGATGGAAGGCAAGGCAGATTATTCAGAGTCTAGAACACCATTCCCCAACCACTTCTAAACTGGTAAATTCATTTCACAGTCGTACATATAACTTGAACATTTTTTAATCATCTAATCATTTTGCATATAATGCAACATGAAGTGAGTTAATGTTTTTAAATGTATGTGTCCTTTTAGGTAAGTATATATTAAAGATTTTATTACAAAATTAATTGAATACAGTATTTACTAATATGCATGATTATAATAATAAATTCTGAATGAGTTCCATCTAAAAAGTGGTGCCCATGGTTTAATTTAGTTTAATTACATAAGAAATGATAATTTAGGAAACATACATTAAAATGACCTCCATTAGTACACTTAGTTTTGCAACTAAATAAAGACTGAACTGTGGGTTGAAATTTAACTGTCTCATAGTATCAAAAGTAGATAAAAACAGGCCCAATCTGATTTACAACTACTGGTAAAAAAGCTTACCTTTTGGGTAAAAAGGTGATTTATTGTTATTCCTTGTTTCCTTATTTCTAATGAAATAAAAGGATTTTTAGCTGCTATTAATAAACACATCTATACAAAAAATTAAAAGCCAAATTGGACATAAGCAACACCAAATTTTCTATTATTTACATTGATTTTTGAATTTATGGAGGGATCTTAATGGGTTATATGAGAGGTAAATGCAGTTCTGAAATCCAGTGAAGAATACCTTGACATACATTTACTAAGTTACCATTAGACGCACACTCTTCATAAACTTTTAAAATTTTTACTTCAGAATTCTATTTGTCTTTGTCAAAAACCCATTATGCACAAGAATTAGCCAACTTAATTAAACAACCGAAAATAAATTTTTTTTTTTTTTTGAGGCAGAGTCTTGCTCTCTCGCCCGGGCTAGAGTGAAGTGACATGATCTTGACCCACTGCAGCCTCCACCTCCCAGGTTCAAGTGATTCCCCTGACTCAGCCTCCCGAATAGCTGGGACTACAGGCGTGTGCCACCACATCCAGCTAATTTTTGCATTTTCAATAGAGACGGGGTTTCACCATCTTGACCAGGCTGGTCTTGAACTCCTGACCTCGTGATCCATCCACCTTTGCCTCCCAAAGTGCTGGGATTACAGGCATGAACCACTGTGCCTGGCCAAAAATAAACATTTTAAATTGCCGGTCGGTTCAGTTGCCCCAATAACTGGTAACATTCAGCTCTTCATTCAATGGTGGAGAGTGAGAAAGTCCTGAGCAGAGGTAGCTAATGCCGAACTCTGTACTTTTAAATGAAAACCATATGTAAGTAGTCATTGCGTTTATTCAGTTATTTACGTAGACATGAAAATATCTGCTATTATCACCTTTAATGACATGGACACTGCAGAAGCTTTTTGTGAAACTCTGGGTTTCCCTCGAGTTGGGAGCCATCACGTGGGAGGAGGTGGAGATACTGAGGGATGATAAGCTCCACCGAGGCAAGGATTTCATTCTGTTCACTGCTGCATCCCCTGCAGATACTTTGCAAATATTCAGTGAATAAATGAATGAGTGAATGAATGAATGCAGCTTAGGTAGCAGTCGGAGTTTTCTGCAGAGGTGTGGAATGGAGCGGACATGATTTGAGTTGAGAAGAGAAACTGCTGTAAGAACAAGAGAGGAAAGCAACAGGAGGTGCGTTGGCAAACAGCCTTATGGGTGAAAAGGAACACTGTTTCCATCAAGAACATTTATCCCAAAACCGTGCCTGGAACAGCTACTGTGTGTTGAGCTTGTGAAAAACGCTGTGGGATTCAGAGATGAAAGAGACTCAGCTCTCATCAAGGAGTAGTTTGAATTGATGGGGATAATAAGAGAGATACTCATCCCAGACTGAGCATACACAATCCATGTTCCACAGACTTTGGAGGGAAAGGAAAAGCAGTCTGAGGGAAGCAGTTCGAAGCAAGAGAATGGAGCCCTACTTCCCGCTTTGACACCAACTGGAAAGTCATTTGCCCTCTCTGGGTCCTAGTTTCCTCATCTGTGTAAGAAGCGAGTAGGACCAGAGCTCCTCAATGTGCCTGTGCAGCAAACCTCTGGCAGTCTGTGGGGTTTGGAAATTCAGAGGAGGTGGATGTTAGTGTTGGCAGAGGTATTGTGGACATGTGTCCTCAAGGATGTGGAAGTTCAGTTGTCCCTGAAGAATGAGGGAAGGGTGTCAAAGTTGGGGGTCAATCAGGTACAGGAACCAAGCCATGAGAGTAAAAGGGTCCAAATAATTTTTTGATGTCTATTTTATGAAGTGAGAGAAGTCTGGAAAAGCACAGTCAGACGACACAGATCCTACACTGCAGAAGGAATGAGTAAGAGTTGGTTTGAAACAAAGGGTCAAATTCATCTCATCGGAATAATCCCAACTTTGGAAGCCCCACACATTGGTATTAAGAGGAATCTTCTGGGCCAGGCGCGGTGGCTCACGCCTGTAATCCCAGCACTTTGGGAGGCTGAGATGGGTGGATCACAAGGTCAAGAGATCGAGACCATCCCGGTCAACATGGTGAAACCCCATCTCTACTAAAAATACAAAAAATTAGCTGGGCATGGTGGTGCGTGCCTGTAATCCCAGCTACTCAGGAGGCTGAGGCAGGAGAATTGCCTGAACCCAGGAGGTGGAGGTTGCAGTGAGCTGAGATCGCGCCATTGCACTCCAGCCTGGGTAACAAGAGTGAAACTCCATCTCAAAAAAAAAAAAAAAGAAAAGAAAAAAAGAGGAATCTTCTAAAAGAGCTAAGTGAGAGGAATGCACAGTGAAGCCTCCATGTTGGTGAAATGTTGATGATGTTAACAAAAGGTGACAGGAAAATGTGACACGTTCTCATAAGGTGGAAAAGCAGCCGATGATTTTCAAAGCAGACAAATATAAAAATAGCTCATGCTATGTTGCAAATATGGATTTTTACCCAAAAAGGGATGCCACTGGGACCCAAAAGACCAACACAATATAGGAAGTACCCATGAATCTATCGAGGCCAAAACATAATCCTAGCCTCGTGCAGACCCACTGAGAGGAGATGGAGGGTAAAGAGCAAGAGAAGAGCCACTGACCAGTGGTCCGATGTGGGTCAAGGGCCTTAGCCAGCTGCATAATATTGGTCTCTTCATCGTCCAGTGGGAGTAATAATACCTGCTCCACGTGTATCACAGTGCTGTTACAAGGATCAAATGCGGCTATGGACAAAGATTTGCTTTAGAAAGAATCAAGTGCTGGAATCACTGGAATAAAGCAATAGAAATCCGTGCATTTGTGACATCTGTCTAGTGTATGAACAGCTTGTGCAAACACACTTAAAGCAGTTCCTTGTATTTGCACAGTGCTTTAGAGCTTATCAGTTTCCAAAAAATCTAAAGGGATATAGTATGGCTTTAAATTCTGAAAACCTAGGTTTGGACTCCAGTCTCTCTGCTTGCTAGTGTGAGTCAGCATGGTGTTATTTAACTCATCTGGGCTCAGTTTTCTCATCTGTGAACTAGAAATAGAGATGCCTGTGCTTGCATGGTGCTTGCGAGACTCAAATACGATAATGGGGCTGGGCGCAGTGGTTCACAGGTGTAATCCCAGCACTTTGGGAGGCTGAGGCAGGCAGATCACGAGGTCAGGAGTTTGAGACCAGCCTGATCAACATGGCGAAACCCCATCTCTACTAAAAATACAAAAATTAGCCGGGCATGGTGCCATGCTCCTGTAGTCCCAGGTGCTCGGGAGGCTGAGGCAGGAGAACTGCTTGAAGCCAGGAGGCAGAGATTGCAGTGAGCTGAGATCACGCCACTAAACTCCAGACTGGGAGACAGAGTAAGATTCCATCTCAAAAAGCAAACCAAAAAAAAAAAAAAATAGAATAATGGATGAAGGATGGAGAGTCACTGCCTTCCCATGCAGACCCTCAGAGCATAGTGGCCGCTTTTATTTCCGTCTTCCACTAGAACATAAGCTCCTCGGGCTGAGCCCACGTCCATTGGTATTCCCAGTTACCTGTAGAGTTCCTGAGACAGAGTGGTGTTCAATAAGTACTCGTTGAAGGGCTGGGCACGGTGGCTCACGCCTGTAATCCCAGCACTTCGGGAGGCCGAGGCGGGTGGATCACGAGGTCAAGAGATCGAGACCAACCTGATCAACATGGTGAAACCCCGTCTCTACTAAAAATACAAAAAATTAGCTGGGCACGGTGGCGCGTGCCTGTAATCCCAGCTACTCAGGAGGCTGAGGCAGGAGAATTGCCTGAACCCAGGAGGCGGAGGTTGTGGTGAGCCGAGATCGTGCCATTGCACTCCAGCCTGGGTAACAAGAGTGAAACTCTGTCTCAAAAAAATAAAAATGAGTACTTGTTGAATGGATGGATTAACATAATGAATGGATGGGTGAACACCAACCCTGTAATAGAGATGAAAGACGGTACTATCTGTGTTCTTGGGTACAAAAACCAAGGCACAGAGAGTTTGAATAACTGTCGAAGGTTAGCCTCGGAGCTAACCCGGGAATAGGACCTAAAGGCATCCCTTTTCTATGCCATCCACGTGCTGTTCCCTATCCTGAACCTCTAACCTTTGGTGGGAACCCGGGCAACAGTTTTCTGATCTGTTACTGTCATATCTTTTAGAGAAGCTGAAGCATTTTATTTATTTTTTTTCTGAATTTTTGTTCAGGGCTCACAGAGTAAAAAAAAATTGAAGTCAACTTTTACATTCTTTTTGTTTTTCTGAAAAGGATCCAAAAAGCAAAGAAACATAAGCAAAATCTCAAATATCTTTGGTTTTGACAGTCCCTGGTTGGCTGGACATAGCTCCAGGAAAATGGATCTAATCTGCGCCGAAAGGTACAGTTTGTTTCTTTCTCCCGCAGACAGACGGAAATGTGTGTTTGGGAGGCTGATTCATCCAATGGCCCTTGCACCAGGCCTGGGACCAGCACTATTCATTATTTGCTCTGTTCCTCTCTCGTTTACAAGGTCAGAGTCGATGTTTTGGTTGTTTTCCCAGCAGTGCTCTACTGACCGACTTCGCTCTAATCCCTTGATGTCACTTAAATAAACTTGAGGCGGGTGGGGGTAGGGGGAGCAATTTGAGAACTCCAATGATTTCCTACCGCTGTTGTTCTCGGCGGCAAATTAATTTGATGCTGTTATGTAAGTGTAATCATCCTCTCTAATCACATCACAGGATTGGGAACTGCCAGAAATAACAGAAGGGAACATTGGAGTTATCAGAGGGGAGCCACTGAAATAGATTGTTTATTTAGGTACCAAATTGAAACTCTATTATTGGAAGATGGAAAACAACCCTCACGCTTTCCTTTCACACGTCCCTGCGCTTTACATACTGTATTCTTCAGGGTGCATCAGCCAGAAGGAAAGGGAAATACGAAACCAGAGCTTCCAGTTGTGCCATCGGGAAGGAAATGGGGAGCATCAGTGGGCTTGCGTTGGTGCCTGAAATTTTGGTTGCGATTGTTGCTCTAAGAGGCTCCTCTCTTTGCCCAATGTTCTTTCCTCATTTCTGCCTTCTCTCTTTCTTATTCTCTCCCATACTGGCCCATTGCCCTCTCCCTCTCCATTTTTTTTAGCAAGTCAAAGAAGACTCAGCCTAGCTCAGATGACCCTTCTCCCCCTCTTTATGACAGCTCCTCTCTCAAGTGATGGGGACCCCGGGAGATAACGTTATTCATGCATATGGCCTCCCTGTCTCCTAACACAGGTTGTCAGATCTGTTTCCTCTCCCCAAACACTTCTTCATGTAGTATGGATCTAAATTCTGAAAACCTGGGTTTGGATTCCAATCTCGTTGCTTGCTAGTGTGATTTGGCATAGTGTCGTTTAACTCATCTGGCCTCCAGCTCCTCATCTATGGAATAGAGATAGAGACACCTACACTTGCATGGTGCTTGTGAGATTCAGATTCAGTAATGGATGAAGGGTGGAGAGCCAGTGCCTGCCCACGCAGGCCCTCAGAGCACAGTGGCTGTTTTTATTTCCATCTTCCACTAGGACACGAGCTCCTAGGGCTGAGTCTGCATCCGTTGGTATTCCCAGTTACCAGCAGAGTTCCTGAGACAGAATTGGTGTTCAGTAAGTCCTCGTTGAATGGGTGGATTCACGGAATGAACATTGGAGATATTAAAGGCATCAAAACCACGTTGATGGCTCCCCTCTCCAGTGATGGGGGCCCTGGGAGATATGTTACATGCATACAGCTTACCTACCTCCTAACACATGTGGTCAGATCTCTTTCCTCTTCCCAAACGCTTCTGCTTCTACCTACACATGGAGCCATAGCGGTGACAAATAACGTCCCATTCTTACTCAGAGTGTGTTTCACAGAGTGGTCTATGCAATTGTGGTAGAGGAGCTTAGAGGCTGTTTTTGTTCCTGAACTCCGTTCCTCCCCACAAGCAGATTGCATACTGTTTCTGAGCCTCGGTTTCTCCATCTGTAAGAAGGGAGAGCCAGGCTCAGTTCAGCCTGGTGCCGTGAGCATGCAGGAAGCTAACGCCTGTGAAGGTCAGGCACGTGGTGGTCAAGATACCAGGCACCGGGTCACAGTCTGCAGTCAGAAGTTGGGATCTAGGCCCCAGCACTACCACTCAGCTGCCCAGGACCTTGCCCAAGGTACTTATCTCCTTACACCTCAACATCCTCATCTATAAAGTGGGATAATGAAAATAGGGATCAAAATAGCATAAAGATTAAATAAGCGTGCATATTTTAAATGGGTGGCATGGTGCCTGACCTACTAAATGCTAATTTATGGTCATCATTATTATTCTCATTGTTCTTATTTATTGTTGTAATAGCAAAGCTTAATTAAATAATAATGATACTAATGATGATGATCCGTTTCCTGCTAGTCTCATTTTTTTTTTTTTTGAGATGGAGTTTTGCTCTTGTTACCCAGGCCGGAGTGCAATGACATGATCTCGGCTCACCTCAACCTCCACCTCCTGGGTTCAGGCAATTCTCCTGCCTCAGCCTCCTGAGTAGCTGGGATTACAGGCACACGCCACTGTGCCCAGCTAATTTTTTGTATTTTTAGTAGAGACGGGGTTTCAACATGTTGACCAGGATGGTCTCGATCTCTTGACCTCGTGATCCGCCCGCCTCGGCCTCCCAAAGTGCTGGGATTACAGGCGTGAGCCACCGCACCCGGCCTAGTCTCAATTCTTACTCCCACCCCGATCTTCACGCAACTGCCAATTCCTCCTGACGCTATTTGCCGTAAGCAATGAATGCATGACGACAGCGTTGGAATCACTGTCAGAGGAGGTAGAACAAGGTGAACATGGGCAGGGCGTGGAGAGAGATGCCCCACTGTGGGAGGGAAAGGACATTCGGCTGAAGGCTGTTAGGAGACATACTCCTTGGGGCCTACAACTGTGGCCTCTCCCTGTTCTCCTGGTCTCTCAGGCCCTCTGCACTGTCTTACATTCAAGTCCCCACCTGCCTTTTTTCCCTGCTCTCCTCACTGCCTGCTTAAAAATGTCTTCTGCTATCCAGGTCCTCCAAGTGGAATGAAATAATCCCTGTATTGTGCGGTAACGAGACGCCCAACCTGCAGTTGGAACTAAGATGCTTGAATCCTCCCCCAGCCTTTGCACCTCAGATAGGGCTGTTAATGGACCTAGGTGGCTTTGTGTATGAAGCGTGCATGGCAGAGTGCCAGCCGATTTCCTCTTTCTGAAGCCACTGCTAGGATCCTGAGTGCTACTTTTTCTTGTCTTCCCTGAAGGGGATACAAATATTTTTTTCAGTAAAACATGAAAATACATTTCTGAAACTATTTTCTACATGCTGATCACAAAAGGGAATAGATTACAATCTGTGGTCCTCTTTCACTCCTTCTCCTCTCATCTAATCTCAGTTGGATGTCCTCTCTCCTTGAAAGATTAGTTACATGGACAGTCTAATATGAGGCTGCCCAAAACAGCTGCTGTACCTGGACAGGATGCTCACTGTGGTTTGGTCACCAGATTCAGACACAGTTGCACACGGTAGCAACTGGGACAAAAATATATTGAAACTGAAATCTTAAAAGGGATTCTTTTTCCGTTTCCTAAAGAAAATTATCTGCATAATTATTCTCTGTATGTCACTTCATTCGGCATGAACTTTTCCCAAACTGCAGGTTTTAGCTATCTAGTTTACACCTAAAACGAAGGAAATACCGATTGAGGAGACCAGTGGCAGCATGGAGAGTGAGTCCTTTCTCAGCCGTAGATGTGACCTGGGTCTCCTAGGCTTTGGAGTCAGATCTGGCTCTGTGACTTTGGGCGAATTACTTAAGTTTTTGAGCCTCCATTTCCTCCACTGTAAACTAGAGCTGACAACAGTATCCATCTGCAGAGACGTTGTGAAGGTAAAATGAAATCACAGATCAACAGTACTTGGCACACAGAAAGGGCTGGACTAATATTAGCGAGATTGTTTTCAAGCCTCTGCTTCCCAGGCTGGACTGCACCGGTGTGCTCACGGCTCACTGCAGCCTCAACATTCCAGACCCAAGCAATTCTCCCACCTCAGCCTCCTGAGTAGCTGGGACTGCAGGTGCACACAATCCTCGTCAGGCTGACTTCTTTATTTTTAGCAGAGATGGGGTCTCACTATGTTGCCCAGGCTGATCTTGAACTCCGGGGCTCAAGCAGTCCTCCTGCCTTCCCCTCCCAAAATGTTGGGATCACAGGTACGAGACACTGCACCCAGCCCTGATATGAGCTATTACCATTCTTTTTGTTCTTTACATTTAGATCTTTAGACATCTGAAATCAGGGAACAGACTTCTATCTTCTGGTAAAAGAGGAGACACTGTCTGAGTGTGCTGACAGACACCCTGCAACATTTACCTGGGCACTTCTGGTTTGCTTTTGCTTTTCCCACAAAATGTAGTCTGTTAAGGCAAACGTTACGTAGGTTGATCATCAGCTTACCCTCCCTCTCTTAGCTAGTATAAAAATAGCCTTTAAATTAATCTCCTAAAATAGCTAAAACAGTTCAATGTTTGACTACATATCATAACTCACCACTATAGAATACTAGTTAGAAAAAAATAAGCATTTACAGAAATCTCATTAATTTGCATTTCATCCCGGCTTAGAGCAATTTGTGGTAATTCATTCTGGATCGGGGTACGTTAACTTTTACATCTGTGTTTTATAGAAATAATTTACTGGAAGAATTAACGGTGCAAGGGACACACTGAACTTTTTAAAGACAGTAAATATTTTTGTAACAATCACAGTCTGTAAAAATTAAAATTTGTGATATATATATGGGTGTTGCTCAGTGAAGGCGTAGAGCCATGTTTCCCAAAATTCCACCCAAGAGAGAATGGGGGAAAGTCCACAACTCATAAACTACACCCCACAGCTTCTGAATCAGGACCCCTGGGGATGGACTCTAGGAATCTGGGAATGTGCTTTTTTTTTTTTTTTTTTTTTTGAGATGGAGTCTCGCTCTGTTGCCCAGGCTGGCATGCAGTGGCGTGCTCTCAGCTCACTGCAACCTCCACCTCCTGGGTTAAAGAGATTCTCCTGCCTCAGCCTTCAGGTGGGACTACAGGCACCCACCACCACACCTGGCTAATTTTTTTTGTATATTTAATAGAGACAGGGTTTTACCATGTTGGCCAGGCTGGTGTTGAACTCCTGACCTCAAGCAGTCCACCCACCTCAGCCTCCCAAAGTGCTGGGATTACAGGCGTGAGCCACCGTACCTGGACGGAATGTGCATTGAAATAAGCTCCCTGGGTGATTCTTATATTTACTAAAATTCATGAGTATCTATTACACAAAATACTGACAATCACTTATACCTTGATTCCGGTAACCAGGAAACTCCTTTGCAGCTATCTAGCATTCCCCTGTGTGCTGGAAAACACTGGAGCTTCCTCTTTTTAAAATATTCTAGAATTCAAACATTCTCACCAGTGCAGACCTATCGCCCCCTTTACTAAAGAGCTATTACTGAAACATCCACCAGCTTCCCATTATCAGTGCCATGCTTCCTGCACCAGAACCTGTAATGGAAATCCATACTGCCTAAAACTTACGGCGGTAAGACTGAGATTCAAAGGAGCCAGTCTGACACCTGGGAGGCCTAGAACGCGAACCAGGATAGAACAAACAAGGGCTCAGTTACTGAACCAGGAGCTGGATGGGCCATTCGGGACAGGGTAGGAGCCTAGTCAAGATCCCAGCCCAGGACAAGTTGACTGAGGCTGCCTTGATTTGAAACCGCTGCACAGCCCACCAATGAGTTGCCATATAAGTCAAAGAGACAGGAAACATGAACGTATCTAAGGACCACGTGGAGAAGAACCTCAGCTTTATTTGCATATGGTCTTTAGAATGCAGGTGCTTCAATCTCTGGACCCAGGTCCTTGTTAACAAAATAATTCCTATATCTGAAGACACGAGATTATATCTCCTTGTGCCTTTCTTTTTGCCAATTACAGCAGTATTGGGTTAGGACTACTTTTTTCATCAATTTCTGTATAAACTATATGAGAGATGTGCACACACATGCAAACACACATGTAGGCCAGCACATACATGTACATACTTAAAATATTCTAAGCTAGGCTTTAACTTAAAAGCGCATCTTTTCATCTTACTTTGTAATGGCAAAGGATGTACAGCAAATACAAAGTTGACCCCGAGGTTCATTCCTGCCACTGTTTGCTGGAAACTAAGACCATGGCGTGAGCAAGTTTGCTTGTAACTAAAGCACAGACTCTTGGCTATTTGCAACATTTTAAACTTTAACAAGTGGGCAATGCAATATAAATGACGCTTTAAACATTTATGCATTGGGTGGGAATCTATATTAATTATAAAACAAAAGGCCAAGTCCTAGAAACAAAGAAGCATCATTTTTTTTTTTCTTCCTGAGTTGCTTTACCAAGAATGAGATCCCTGAAGGAGAGGCATAGAAACAAGAAAGGTTCTACCTACTTGATTCGTAGCTTAACTGGGAGCCCAAGACAACTCATCCGAGAGCTTGCCACGGCCTGTTTGTGTATTCTGCTCCGCGCCTGGCTTGTGTCCTCCAGCAGTCACACAGCACGTCTCAAAACCGCCGCTCCCAACACACAGTAGTCATTCTCGTGGCCCACATGGGACGGCCTCGTCTATTCTGAAATCCTGAAATGGTGGAAGCAAGTCCAAATGGTGGGAAGTTTATAAAGTGTCTTTGGCAGGTGATTGGGGCGTGTTAGAATTTTTCTTTTCTGCATTAAAATAGTTGCATTTATTCTTCTATTTAACAGAGCAAGGCTAAGTAAAGAGATGCCAATTTAAAAGCATCTGTTTCATTATCTTTGCTCTAGTTCCAGTCACTGGAGCCATACACTTGATTCAGGGAGTAACTCAAGTTCATCCCTACACTGCCATCTCAGGCAGTGTTCTCATACCCCCTTGAAGCTGGCAGATAACAAACCTTGAACATGCCCGTCTCCCAGGTAAAAAGATCTCAGCTTCCCTTGCTTCCAAGGATTTCAACTTTTTTGGAACTCTCCCCTGAGGATTAAAACGTTGCTGATATCTGGGAGGTGGGCCATCCTCAGCTGTTTTCACCTTAACCGAAATCACTTTATTGGTTTTTTAGAGAAGAGATTGAGCAGGGGGATATTCCCCAGCCGGGGGTGCTGCCAGGCTTTAATAGAGGGTCTCTAACATTAGGGGTTAAGGGGAACAGAAGGGGAGGGCAGAAGGCTGTGAACACAAAGGGTAATCAGTTCCCAATTCAGCCCGAGGCTGACACTAACTAGAGTCGATCAGTGAGTTTGTACTCACTATTTTATTCAGATAGATTTGATATGGAATTCAGCTCTTCCCCACTGGAAATGAAGTTCCTAGTTCCTTGGGTTTAACTAAGGTAGGCAATCGACAGCATGAAGTTGAAATAATAATCTCAATTATTTTTTCAAAACCACCTAAGGAAAGATATTTTTATGACTGCCTATCTGAGATGGTCTACATAAGATTAAATATTCATTTAATTGTACCTCCCTCTATTTCATCTCGTCTGTCCACACATAGTCTCAGCAAGACATAGTCATGCACGGTGAACCTAGGCTTAGAATCTTTTTTTTTTTTTTTTTGAGATGGAGTTTCCCTCTTGTTACCCAGGCTGGAGTGCAATGGCGCGATCTCGTCTCACAGCAACCTCCACCTCCTGGGTTCAGGCAATTCTCCTGCCTCAGCCTCCTGAGTAGCTGGGATTACAGGCACGCGCCACCACGCCCAGCTAATTTTTTGTATTTTTAGTAGAGACGGGGTTTCACCATGTTGACCAGGGTGGTCTTGAACTCCTGACCTCAGGTGATCTGCCTGCCTTGGCCTCCCAAAGTGCTGGGATTACAGGCTTGAGCCACCGCGCCTGGCCTAGAATCTTTACCTCTTCTGGGAAGTCAGTAGAAACTTCTGTCTCCTTGGGTTTGTCTTTCAAATGTTTCCGTTTTCTCTTGGGTCCGGCTACCAGGAGTCTGCGTCGTTGATCACAAGTAGTTTAAGGTCAGAATGTTTTTCTTCTCTCCCTTTCCAATTTTTAACCATGCTTATATTGTGAGTTCCGAAGACTAGAATTTATGAATGTCAAGGCTCATAAGCCATTCTCCACCCACCATGTAGTTGTAAGCTGCAACTCTACACATCTGCAGGGCGTACCTGACATGTTCAGCTTCTGAAAAGCTACAACTGGGCAGCAAGCTGGAGGAGCAAATCACCATTCATTAAATTTAAAAAACAATGCACATGGGCCCACCACCCCTGACAGCTGGCAGCCTGTATTTTTACAGCTGGGTTTTAACTTAACACCTTTTGGGATGCTGTCTTCCAAGAGTATGGATTTGTGCTTTTCAAATCTGACTTTTGGATTTAAAAAAATGGAGCCCAGAGACTATGTTGGAGACATACTTATAAATCCATGAAGGCTTAGCCTACAGAAGCCACAGGAAATACTATGATATTTTGGAAAAGGTCGAGTTTCATGGATTCTGTAAGGCCCTCAGCAGGTTGTAATTATTTCTTTTATTTAAAAGCCCTCCAGGTATTTTTTTTTTTCCAGAGGGTCTGCAATTGAGGGTAGTAGACATTTTTTTCATACTGTACATTCTTTTTGGCTGAGTGCTGGAAATACACAGGAAATAAAGTGGCTTTGAAAGACCCAGCAGCAGCCAGTCCAAGGCATGAAGTCACTGAAACAGAATGGGAAATCTCCAAATCAACAGCGTCAGTTTTTGGCTGCCTCTGTCCCTGTCTTTGTGCAGGAAGGAAAAAATGAAGCAGGTGAACACACCGATCTGTTGTTTTAACAGAAACCGAATGTCACCGTGTCTACAGGCATGGCTCAGCAGCTGGAATCGCTCAAGAGGTTGAGACACAGGCCGGCAAGACAGCTGTGCTGAGGCAGCCAGGAAAGTGAAATGAGTTGCCTGCGTCTTAATTCAAGATCCCAGTGCTGCTTTGGGCCCCCGGTCGCTGCTGGCCTGACTCAGAGCGAGGGTAGAACTGGCCGTGCCGAGGCCAAGGAAAGCAGGCCAGCTCCTTATTGACCATCCTCTGGGCTGCCTCTTAGGAAAATCAGATGCAAGGACTCTTGCCTCAGACCAGAGACAGAATCAGCCAAGTTTTTGGTCTCAGCAACTAAAAATAAAAAGGAAAGATCTGCTTCTGAGGCAGCGGATAGATACCCGGACACGAGTCTGACTACTTTTGCACAGGGAGGTACAGATACCAGGAGTGCTGGGAATGTCTTAGGAGAGGCCTCCACGGAAGGTGGGCTCTTGGCTCCAGCCTAGCAGTTGCCTCTGAGGTTGGATGACATTCTCTTGGAATCCTGGAAAGCAGAGAACTCTCCTGGAAACAGATCTGGAGTATGCAAGGTCTTCACTCACTCGTGTCTAGCTCGGTTTCTTTTTGGCTGCCTTGGGCTGAGTAGAGTTAATTTTGAGCGAAGAAGAAAGAACTTCAGCCAGCATGAATGAAGCACTCTCAAGACAAGTCACAAAATGGCCTTTCAGAAAGAGCCATCCATTGAGATGGGAGCCAGCGGGTGAGGTCACCATCAGCACAGGGCACGGTGGCCAGGCATAGGCTGGATTCAGGAGAATCCTGGCCTGGGCCCATCATGGCCTACGGCATTTCCATTTAATCAGTGGTAGAGGCCCCGGGTGAAATGAGGTGGGGAAGTTGTCCAGTTCCCAGTAGGTTTCCTAGGACTGAGTTTATTCCTCCCGGCCTCCTGACTCAGAGAAGATGCCAGGAAGGAGTGGGGAAGAATTGCTAATGGCCCTGGGCAGAAACAGTCTCAGAACCATCCCAGCCACCATTGTTATCACCAGGACAGTAAGCTGGTAAATATCGTGCTGTCCAAGAGGCCTTAATCAGTAATGATTTGGGTGGCTCTTCACAGTCCTCAGAGCAAGCTGACATACCCTTACCGTACTTGATTCTCATAGAAGTCCGGGGTGCAGGCAGGTAGCACCATCCTTGCCGCAATTGGTGGTGAGGACACTGAACTTAGGGAGGGTAGGTGACATGCCGTAGGCCACTCAGCTGGTGAGAAAGAGAACCAGGACTGAAATGCAGGTCTTCAGGTTTCTACTTCAGAGCTTTTGTATGACAAGATGCCTCCCTGGATCTAGCTGAATCAGCTGCAGGGGTGTGGGTGCCTGTCCTCTAGAAACCAAGACCCCTAAGCAAACAACACAAGGGTTTCTACCTAACTTGTATAAAATGGAGCTGCCTCATGTCCCCGTGTCAGCACAGTGTCATCCCCAAAGAAGCACATACTGGTTTTCAAAAATCATTTAAAAGTAATGTATATCTTTATTACAGTTTTTCAGAAAATGCTAAAGGAAGAGTTCCATCCACAGCTTACAGAGGATTTTCTGAAAAATCTCTTTATCCATTTATCTCCTCAAAATTCCACCTATCACAATATGACAGCTGCCTTAATCACTTCTCCTCAAAAAAAAGAAAAAAAAAGAAGTTTCCCAGAACTTTTGTTTTTAAATCTAGTGCTTTCTGATTCTTATATTTTTCTCACCTACCCTTTATGTTACAGATGTAGCGTTTCCCCTCCTGTGAGTCTGGTTTCTCCAATGTAAACTAATCAGATGGTCTTGGCTTCTTTTTATTCTTCTCTTTCATCCCCGTTCCATGACTCTGATTGGAAAAACAAGGCCCCGGATAAAATTGGATGGAGGTTCTCTTCTCCCTAGAGGCAAGAGGGAAAGAGAAGCTGCAAGTCACATTCTCCTTGTCATATATACATGAAACAGAGACAGTGACCGCGAACCTTAACCAAGCTCAGCCTTACATGAGATGTGGCCGCAGTACCTCCCACTACATTTGGGCTTAGAATCAGAGTCATACTGTCTGGAGACGGGCAGAGAGATTGGCAGGTCCACTCACCATGCCTTGTGGGTACTTCTTTTGTCAACCTCAGTTATTTTTTTTTTTTCACTCAAACTAATGTTTCCTGCCTTTATAAGCTGCATCAGTGTCTGTAACAGAGTGACAATGGGACTGAAGCTCACTTATCTTCCACTTCAAGTAGATACGCCATTCACGGTTTTCTTATGATAGTCTTATCATAAGAAAAAAAAAAGTTTTCTACTTAAGCCTAAAAATAATTCTTTCATGGTAGGCATGTAAATAGGACCAATTAATAAGTAGCTACTTCTGCTTTGCTATGGAAATTAGCCTCGGTTTAATTTTTGCCAGCGTCATAGAGCTAGTATCAGTCATGAATAAATGCATTTCCAGCCGGGTGTGGTGGCTCACACCTGTAATCCCAGCACTTTGGGAGGCCGAAGCAGGCAGATCACTTGAGGTCAGGAGTTCATCACCGGCCTGGCCAACATGGTGAAACCATGTCTCAACTAAAAATACAAGACTTAGCCAGGCGTGGTGGCATGCACCTGTCGTCCCAGCTACTCAGGACGCTGAGGCACGAGAATCACTTGAACCCAGGAGGCAGAGGTTGCAGTGAGCCAAGATTGTGCAGCTGCACTCCAGCCTGGGTGACAAAACGAGACTCCATCTCAAAAAAAAAAAAAGGGATAGATACATTTACATAAGTAGGCATATCATATACCTTGTTTCTGTGTATCTGCATGCCCATGTTCATAGCAGAATTATTCACAGTAGTCAAGATCTGAAATCAACCTAAGTGTCCACCACATAATGAATGGAGAAAGAAAATGTGGTATATACACCATGGAATGCTATTTACTCCACTTGAAAAAGCACGAAATCCTGGTCATTTGCAGCTACATGGATGAACCTAGAGGACATTAAGCTAGTGAACGAATGAGCCAGGCACAGAAAGACAGACAGTACATGATCTCACTTATATGTGGAATCTGAAAACATCAAACTCATCGAAGCAAAGAGGAGAATGGTGTCAGCAGAGACTGAGCACTGAGGGGATGGAGGAGACGTTGGTCAAAGGACACAGAATGTCAGCTAGACAGGAGAAGTAAGTTCAGGAGCTCTATTGACCATCATGGTGACTATAATTAGCAATGATACGTATTTATAGATTGCCATTGGAGATTTTAAGAATTCTCATCACAAAGATGATGTGTGAGAGGTAAGGCATGTTAAACAGCTTACTTAGATTTAGCCATTCCACTCTGTATACGCGCATCAAAATACCTTGTGCACCATAAATATGTACCATTTTTACCTGTCAGTTAAAAAGGAAAGTTGTGTCTGCGTGTAGTGGGGTTTGTGTGATTTTCATATTCTTCTGAATCGATTTCTGCACTTACCTATCTACCTGCTTATGTGAGCATATAATGTTTTTATAATCAGTAAAACATTAAAGTTATTTTCACTTTTTAAAAGAATAACAGCATTCAATGTGGGTGACAGTGAGGAGACACCAAGAAACTTGGTGGCTGTTGAAGATGATAACTCCTAATATATACACTATGTGTCTATATATACAGACAGATAGAGATAGATAGAGATAAATATATCTTCAGTTGCAGCCACGGGAATTATTCGCATTTCTCTCTAGTCACTCTAGAATGGCTTCTTGGAGGAGGTGGGGTTTCAGAAGTTACATAAATGCTATGAGAGAAACTTCTGCCCAGCTGAGAGGGAAGGAACTCGCAGGGCTGTGCTGAGGAGGCTTGGCAGGGAGTGGCATGTTGGTTCCCAGGTATAAACCTCTCCATTTCCAGGGCCGGACAGGAAGGAAGCAGCAGCAGTCTCTGCCCTGGACCACAACCCTCTGAGCAGTGTTGATGAGAATTTTTCGTCAGTCTGATCCTATCCTTTGCTTTATTCCATTCTCTAGAAGCTCTTATCCAAGGAGGCATGGACCCATCTCACTTTCCCCGATCCTGGTTTTCATAGCATCAAAAAAGAACCTCTGAAACCCATGGCCTGTTGAGTCTCCTATTATCAGAGAGCATATGAATAGCAAGTTAGCAGTCTTTCTCCTCTGAGGGAGGGAGGAGCCTGAGACCGCAGGCAGCTCCTCCAAGGTGAAGAAGGCCTCAAGGTCATATGAAGCAAGGGCCACTGTTCTGTAGGACAACTGGCCTCTGTGCACCACGAAGTTTCTGGCTGGGAGCCGAGTTGAGTCATTGGTTCACTGAACTCTCTCTTCCTGTCCCACATTATTTGTTAATGGTCAGTGTTATAAGATTAGTCGCTTGAAGCATTTGGAGAGGATTTGGGGATAACTCAAACGGTTTATCACCGACCTGGAGCGTGGGGTGTCCATTCACTCTAAACTACACCATTGCCACTGCCCAGGAAGAATGCCTAGGGCTTATATTTTGCAATTGTTCAACGCCACGGAAACACAGGTGAGCGGATTGCACAGCCTCAAAAAGCACCACAGCTGCTTTCTCACTGGGGTTTGCTCGACCTTTCGGGTTGGTCCGGTGGGTTAACCAGCCCAAGCCCTGTTGCTAGCAGTCCAGCCAACAGGATTCTGCTAGCTCCTTCCGTATGCTCATAAAACCCACAAAGCCATGAGAGAGAGGCGCTGTGAAGAGCAGACAGTTACAGGAAATACATCATTCGGTGCCGCCCATGTACCTAGCAATGTCACGCTTCTTTAAAAGTGAACCAAAAAACCCTAAGAGACTTACGGTTCAGAGTGCCACTGCCATTTCTCTATTATACCTTGTGCCAAAAGGAAAAGTCTTCCTGGGGTGGTTTCAACAGCTCCTCCATGTAAATGGCAGGCTCTCCATTTTTGGCACACACCCTCTCAAAGCAATTACTGTTAGTTACCTCTGCCTGCTGGGAGAGAACCGTTTCGCAGAGACAATCCGGCTTTCGACACAGCCTCACTGGCGTTGTCCTTGGTGCCTTTCCTGTGGTAGGTTCTAGTTCACATCCAGGACTGTGAATGGCTTTGCCAGACCCCACTGTGTGTCTGCGAATGAGCTGGAGATTTTGCAATTTCAGTGGCCAGGCAAAGTCCATGCCCTGTTGCAGTCCTCGCTTGATAGGCCTTCTGTGTGGCTTCATTTGGCTGTTTTTGTGTGAGGTGATTTTTATTCTGAAGTGGGGGGGTAACAAGCTGGGTAGCCCACACGTTTTGGGGGCTTACAGAATCCTTTGAGAATAAAACCATTGAGCCACAGGCTGAGAAAAAACTCAGAGGCCTTTGTTGCCATGGACTGATAGCAACTTTAAAACACGGAAGCGAAGAAAAAGGGAGTGATAATCTCAAGCATCCTTTCCAGTCTCCCCTGCCGCCTTTCTCTCCTTTCTAATAGAAGAGGAGTCAGTGAGCAGAGAGGGTGGTGTCCAGGGGCGATGGACAAGTCGCTTTCTCTGGATGGAAATCTCTTTCTACCCCTCTGTTTTGGATTGTCAGTGAAGACCCAGGGCTGAGCTGAATGTTTCTTTCAGGAGAGGAGAAAAGCTAGTTCATATGAGGAAAAGAGCATGTAGGTACATGGCTCCATGGAAATCAGATTTCTTTAAAAAAAAAAAGAAATCGTTTCCTTTCTCATTACCTAGTGGGGCTTAGCTCCCAGGACAAGTAGTAAATAAGCAGGATGAAAAGCTCAAGGTGGAGGAAGGTTTGCTCCTAAATCAGAGACTTGGAGGGCCCCAAGGCAAGGCGCTCATTTGAAGCGGAGCATTGAGAGAAGTTCACCTTCCCCCGGACCGCGTTAGTCCACACAAAGTCTTCCTGAAGTGTGGTGAAGTATTTCCTTTAAAAAAAAATTTTTTTTTGAGATGAGGTGTTGCTGTGTCACCCAGCCTCGAGTGCAGTGGCACGGTCAGGGTTCGTTGCAGTCTCTGCCTCCTTGGGCTCAAGTGATCATCCCCGTTCAGCCTCTCAAGTGGCAGGGACTACAGGTGTACACCACCACCACACCTGGCTAATTTCTGCATTTTTCTTGTAGAGATGGGGTTTCGCCATGGTGCCCAGGCTTGTCTCAAGCCTGAGCTCAAGTGATTTACCCGCCTGGGCCTCCCAAAGTGCTGGGATTACAGGTGTGAGCCACTGCAGCCAGCCCCAAACCAAAAATGTATCCTCCCCAACCCCTGGGTGTTTATCTCATTTCTGATGCTACTGAAGACCCTGGGTTTCTATGTGGCCTTCAGAATCCCAGAGAAGGCCCTTGCAAGAGGTGACTTTCTCATTAGACACAAGGCCACAGCTCTGTGTTATAGGCTGGACTGTGTCCCCCTTCCTCAAAACTTATATTTTGACACCCTAATCCCTAGTACCTTGGGATATGACCTTACTTGACAATAGCAATTGGTTAAGTTAAAATGGTGTCATCATGGCACAGAGTGGGCCTCTAATCTGACATGACTGGTGTCGTTATGGAAGGGGGACATTTGAAGACAGACACACATGGGGGGAATGCCTTGTGAAGATCAGAGTTACTTCACCACAACTCTGCCACAAGACAGAGGACTTTGAGAAGCTAGGACAGAGGACTGGCACGGATTTTCCCCCAGCGCCTTCAAAGGACGCATGGCCCTGCCATGAACTTGATCTTGGACTTCCAGCCTCCAGGTCTGTGAGACAATGCACTTCTGCTGTCTTCAGCCGCCAGCGAGTGGGGCTTCGTTCCAGCAGTCGTAGGAAACAACCACAGGCCCACGGCACTTGTAGGGATCGATGAAACTGCTTTCACTTTTCTTTCTTTTCGAATCGGGACAAAATAAATATAAGAATAATGAACGCATAACCAATTTGTCTTAATACTAACGAAATCATAAAATGTAGTTTTTATTTTTTTCTTACGGAGAAAGAAGCTTGTGAAAGCAGAAGTGCTCAGGACCCGCGAAAGATGTGATGTGGCCCTGAGACCCCAAGAGCTGATTTGGAGCAGGGGCATAGCCCTCTATGTCCTAGGGCGGCCCAGGAGTTTGTGGTTGAGGCAGGAGTTAGCCCTGGGGACCTGGGAAAAGAGAAAAGCGACGAATGGTCTGTGTCACTGTGTCGTAAACTATTCCTCAGCCCTTGCTGATGTTCCTCCTTCCTCCTTATCTCTGGTATATTCAAGAGTCATTTTTGCTTTTAATGTCTGAGAGAGGACGACAGTTTCAAAAATGTCTCCGTTTGGTACATTGTCGAGGTTGGGCTGCAGCGGCAGCAGAGTGAAGCAGAAACCGCCGTGGTCTCGGCTTGTCCCTTGTGGAACTGCTGGCTTCACTAAAATGAGAAGGTAGAGCTTCAGATTAAGTCTGGGCTCCCTCATTCGGCTCCCAATAGGTCTCGCTTTTCAAGCATCTCTTCCTAGTCACTTTCAAAAGCTACATTACTTATTTATGACCCAATCCAGTAGAAATAATATGCACTTAACTTGCACTTGTAACTGTTATCCTGTTAATTACTCAGTTAAAATCCATAAAAGTGGACGGCTGTCACCGAAGTCTCTGCTAGAATCGTCACAGAAAGGAGCAGCTTTTGACAAATGTATTACTTAGGATCTTGTGTGTAGTTCTTTGAAGTCAAATGGCCTCAGCTTCCAGGAGCCCGGTGGCCTGTGAATATTGTGTCCCATCCTCTCTGGTTAAGAGTTCACATGGTCTGTGAAATGCAGGCGATTCAAAATTGACTACTGATACAGTGACATGATGCTCATAGCCCCCATTCTATAGACCAGGGGTTCTCAACGGAGTGAGCATCAGAATCACTTGGAGGAGTTGTTAAAAGCGGATTGCTGTGCCCATGCCCAGAGTTTCTGATTCAGTTGGTCTGGGATGGGACCCAAGAATTGGCATTTCTAACCTAGTTCCCAGGTACTGCCGGTGCCGCCGGTCCAGAGGCCACACCCGGTGAACCATTAGTCTAGATGTTAAGCTTCCATTGGTCTTTTTGCCAGTAGGTGAAAGAGACTTCAATTACTAGGGGATATAATGAATTTTAGACATAGGAATGAGTTGCCTGAAGTTATAGAACTTACTTTCCTGGAAAAAGGTAGGAGTACACACCGTCACTTTTCCAGAAGGGCTGTGGGCAGCTGGATCATGAGACCACACAACGTGATCCTCCTGATTGAACCCCCTCCTGTTCCACGCAATGCGATACCTTCCCTACCACCCCCGGCATCCCCTCTAGTGATGTGTCACTATTAAATGCTTGTAGCAGGATGGTCCAGGAGAAAGCTGCTGCCGCGGTCCGGGTCTGAAAATATGCTTGGATGCTGAGGCACTTAGGAAGAGCTGCACAGGCAGGGTCTGGGAAAGGACACGGTGGTAAAGAGTGGTGGTAAGTAAAGGTTTAGCAAGACCTCAGTCTTCTGTCTTCTAGGCAGTGGGAAGGTGGCAAGAACTTGAATTCTCACTGCTGTGTTCCTTTAGCCAAGGTGTATCTATTTATTCTCCCATCCAAGTACTAACCAGGCTTGACCCTGCTTAGCTTCCAAGATCAGACAAAATCAGGCACATTCAGGGAGGTATGGCCATTGATGCATGTATCTATTTATTCAGTGTTTCCCCAGGATAAGTTTTTAGACTAAGCAAGGCAGAGAATATTGAGGTGATTCATCCAGACTAGCTGATGGTCTAGTAGGGGAGAGTGAGGCAGACCCCTGAATCCTTATAATACATGGTAGACAGGGCCACACAAACAGATTCATACTTCCTCAGAGATGCTCTGGAAATCACCATAACTCTAATGCACTTTTTGTTTTCCAGGAAGAAAAAAGAGAATATCAGATCAGAGTTTGTTCAGGTCACAGGTCATCAAATCGGAGTTCATGAACTGAGAAACCAAGGCCAAAAGTCTTAAACTGAGTGCTGGCCTATGCAAAGTTTTCCTTTGGGTACAGGAGTCCTTTTTAAAATAGTACTGGCCGGGCACGGTGGCTCAAGCCTGTAATCCCAGCACTCTGGGAGGCCGAGGTGGGTGGATCACGAGGTCAAGATATCGAGACCATCCTGGTCAACATGGTGAAACCCCATCTCTACTAAAAATACAAAAAATTAGCTGGGCATGGTGGCGCGTGCCTGTAATCCCAGCTACTCGGGAGGCTGAGGCAGGAGAATTGCCTGAACCCAGGAGGCGGAGGTTGCGGTGAGCCGAGATCGCGCCATTGCACTCCAGCCTGGGTAACAGGAGCGAAACTCTGTCTCAAAAATAAATAAATAAAATAAAATAAAATAGTACTGAGACTGAAGGGTCTTCCTGATTATTGCTTGCTGGAAGAGGGAGACAGAATTTCAGTTGTTTTCCTTGATCTTCCTGCCAGGCTAAGATTGCCACCATGAAAGCTCATAGCCCGACCAAAAAGCACCGTTCCAGGATATTTTGGGACCAGGGGAACAAAAGGAGAAGACTGAATCTGGGCCCCACTCTTAGCCAGCAGTGAGCTGACGGCCCTGGTGAGAATCCTCCAGCCCCATAACTTCTTCAGCCCCTTCCCCAGACTCAGTCCTGGCTTCTGAGGTCCTCGCTTTATCCCTAGATGACTCCTTAGAATTGACAGGTAAGCAAGATAATTAGGAGAGGTGACAGCTGAAGTGTGTGTTGTGAAGGACATGGAATGGGGATGGAGGATTACTGTGGACTTGGCTGGTCAAGTCAATAAGTCCATCTCCGATGGGGAGTTGACCCTCCTGCTGGTGACACTTTTGCTTCTTCCCAATGTTTCATCCCAAATGGAAGTGAGGGATTGAATTTTATCTTCCAAACCACTGAGCCTTGAATCCATTGTGCTGCTTTGCTTGTGTTTCCTGCCAAACTGCCTTGTGAAATTTTACCCACTGAGCAAAGTTCATCTCTTCTATGAAAGCTTCTCCTGCCACATTTCAATTCACATGGAGTTCTCTAAACACAAACATTTTGAACTCACCTTCTGTTTACCTTGTCTCTTCTGGAGGCCAAAGTGCAACCTGGTCTTTTTTTTTTTCTTCTTTTTTCCCTGTGATGCTTAGCATAGTTCTAAAGGTGGTAGGCTCTCAGCAGTGCATCTGGTTTTATTTCAAT